ACTTATTACACATTATACATTTTATATCGTCAAAATGATTGCAATAATTCAATCCATGAATCCCATCTTGTCAGAACAGGTTCTGGAGGCAATGAACAAACCAGTAAGGCTTCCTCAAATGAGCTTTAAAAAACTCCAAGATGCTTTACAAAAAATACCGGGTACCAAGAGCTTAAATTTGTCAGCAAAGTATTACAAGGCGAAAATGTAAAAAAAACATTTAAAAATGAAACCCACTGGAATTTTTTCATTTTAAATGTCCTAACAGACAAAACGAAGCATTTTTATGCCGAAAATTTTGAAAAGTATCAAATTTGTTATGCAAATTTTAACCAAGATGAGGATCCCGGATTATGTAAAATAATAAATTATATGTAAGTAGATCTCAAAGAAAAGTAGACGTTACGTAAAGCTTACTTTCTATAAAACTTGCCTATTTTGCCATTTTTCCTCCGTTTTTATCGCCTATTTTAGGGTGTAGAAGTTCATGAAAGGCAAGAGGTTTGTTCAGGAAAAGGTGGAGATTTTTCTCAAAATTCACAATGTCGATCCTTCAGCACCTTTTTTGTGGTTTCACGAAATACTCGCACTGTGTTTCTAACAACGTTGTAAAAATCAGGAACGAAAAAATTAACGTTTACAAATTTTTGTTCGAACTGTCGTAAAACAGCACCATTGTTGTAATAAATACCACTCTTCATCAAATCCAACACCATTTCGGAAGTGCGACTCAATCATAAATGTCAACCGAGAAAACTATTTTGCAGTTGTATTTTTTAAAAATTGGAAAGATTGACGTTTCAAACACCACCGCGGCTGAACTTATCAGAGACAATAAAAATCTGTCAATTTAGCCTCTACCAAAATTGATCTAAATAATCAATGAACGCACGGTCTGAGATGCGTAATTCGCATTGTATGTGAAATCCACACTGGTAGAAATGAACTAAATGCATCTACAATTTAATATCGGACAGTAGTATTTTCTTGCATTTGATTTTACTGATTAAATATGCTTTTTTTGAAACCAGGTTTGTTGAGGTTTATACCAAAAATAGTTGTAAAGGAAAGTAGCAAAGTAAACATTAATAAATGTGCTGTTACGAGAAAGCTCCCTGAAAAATCAGCACGGAAATGTAGTACAATAAAAATAATCCATTTGAAAATACAGTAGTTTGAAGTAAGATTTATTTTGTATACGTACATACTAACTACTTATTTAGTATCCCTGAAATGCAATCAAAAAGAAATATTTAAATAAAAAATATAAACAATTATTTACTTTAATAAATACCAATTTTAACACCAATTGATACATACGCTCTGCGCTAAATTGTGTTGAATCTGGATGCACATTCAATATCAGGAAACTCGAAAAATTGCAGCTGAATACCGACAGTCATTGCTACATTATTTTATGCATGTAAAACGTTGTACTCATTATTAGATAAAACAATACTGAAAACACAACCGAAATTCGACAATATTTTATGTAGATTGAGCACATGCCGCTAATTGAACCGTTTCGCTAAACACAACGAACGGCTTTGTGTTTTTCCCGTGTTCCCTAAGGCCACCCACCCTGCAAGTTTTGATTTGTAAATAAAACACGCTACCCTAAGGCTGCCGGATACACAATAGATGTATGGATTGTCGGGACGCTTCTGTTTGCTGATAGTTACGTGCTTTAGGTGCTTCCGGGCATAAACGAAAACCGACAACGTTGTAACTAACTTCTGCCACCACCTGCGGGAATTGGAGGGCTGGAAGCGTTGGAACAAGGACTAGAACTGGGATTGTGTGATTAGTGATTATTAATTATTACACGTTGCAGGAAAGAACAGATACATGCTGGGTTATGGAGGAACGAACAGATGTTGTGTTGCTTGTGCGAAGGACAGGAGTGGAGGAACGGCAAAAAAGTGAGATCGTTGATGTATGCAGACGACGTAGCTGTGATGGCGATTACATCAAACGATGTGTGGAACCCGCGAAAAGTCATGGGAAATGCGGGAGTTTGAAGGGTGGGGTGGAAGTTGGGAAAGAACAATTGAGGGCAATAAGAAAACAATAAACATTGGATGTAGGGTTTTTGCGAGGCAGGAAATAATTGGGGCGGCCAGATTCCTCTTTCTTAATTAGAAAGAGCACAAAGTGAATGCTAACGATGGTAACTGAAAGCGGGTCGTGTGGCAAACTTCATCGCCATCACTCATTAGTACACTTTCCTATAGTACTACTTCCGAACTCAAAATAATAATGTTAAGACTGTAAAAAAAGTAGATTTTTTTGTGTCGCTGTAAATTTTGCTAATTTGGTTAAAAACCCGATAACTAACTAAATCTGTTCCGATGAGCTTAAAAGGCGAAAAGGTTGTTCGTTCACATTCGTTAAAATATGTAATAAATCCGCTTCGAAAACTGATTATCATCAGTGGGTAGCATTAAATTAATGTTTTTCAAAGCTAAATTATAATACGTTGTTACAGTTTTGATTCTATTTTTATATTTTGATTAACGATTTACCATTATTACAATTAAAACGTCTGCAAGATTTCAGAGCATTTGGTTTTGCAGTTAAATTGCAAAATATTGTTAAACAATTTTGATTTTTTTTTGGCAAAAGTTTGGATGTCTAGGGTAAAAAGCACACACGGGTTCATAAACCACAAGTGTAGGGGTATGTTATCTTATAAAATTTAAATTATATTTATTGCTGTAAGTTTTGAGGTCTCCCCATCGTTGTGTGGGAGTGATTACTTAATTTGACAAATTTTGGTTAGCTTCGTTTTACCGTCTACCCGATAATCATAACATATACATACAATGTGACAACAATCGGTCTAGTGGTTTCTAAGATTACTTTGTTCAGTAAAAATCCGGACAGATAGACCGACAGACAGACGGAAAAGGGAGACCTATTTTTTTGTACTTTAGGAACCATGAAATTTATATATTTAAAAATAAATCCCATTTTGTGTTGTGATATGTTTTCTAATGGATTCCTTGTTTGATTTCTAAGATCCCAAACACTATTACCTATTCACTAAACATAAATGACATCAGAATAAAAGAAGGTTAGTATAATAACAAATTCCCCTATACAATTTTACGAATTTTTTGTTTTTTTGTGTGACTCAATTGTGAATTATTGCCTAGCAAAACAAGAACTCGTTCCTGATCTTCCCAAATTTGCAATATACAGACCAGCAGCTAAAGTATTTGTGGTATTTAAAATCCCAAATTTTATACCTGTTCCACGTAACCTCATATTCTTTTAATCTTATAGAACAAATGTTTCTTCATTATTACCTTATTGATGTAGAAATACTTATTGACTAAAAACTAAGGAGATCAGTTAACATAACCAATAATTTTATAATGTTGACAGGTTTTGCTCTGATACATATTTCTCTAACCCTAAATAATTCCCTAGATACACTCCGATTTTTGAAAATTTGACATTGCTTGCCATTAATGTTTCGTGAGTAGATAATAGTTACTAAATATCTAATATCAATTATTTAATGTTTATAGCATTTTCCAGCTTATGGGATTAACAAAATAATTATATGCTTACACTTGTCACAAAGATAAAATAAGTATATCATTTGGTTATGAAATTAATTAGTAGTAGTAGTAAGTGTTTATTTTTACCCTACGGGCTTAAAAGATTCTTGATTTACAACACCACAATTTTTTTTCCTAATTAACAAAAACCAAATAAATACATTTTATAAACCAAATAACTCATTTTTTTCCTTTACCCCATCCCCCTTGCCCCAGCCTTTCTCTTGTCCTCTCCACTTCTTTCATCCATTCCGCCCCTCGTCCGTCTTCATTCAATATCTCTGTCACACTCTCCTCTCTTTCTTTGCTCTCCTCACAGTCATGTAGCATGTGCACTATCGTCTCTCGCCCTGCTCCACACATCCTACACATTCTCTCACCTTCGCTTACCCAAAACTTATTATTTCTTTCTTCATTTCCACACCTAAATCTCGCAATTATTTTTTTTTCTTTCGCGCTTTCTCTGTCTAGGTACTTTGGTATTGTTTCTGTTATTATCTTTCTAAGTCTGCATTGTACCTAGATTTACTTACACTCGCTCTTCTCTCATACTCACCCCCATTTCTCTCTTTCTCTCTATTTCCATCCATGCGTATCCCAGTCTTTCATAATATCCTTATCTACCCTTGTGATGTTCTTTCCCTGCTTCCTTTTTTTTCCTTCCAGCATACATACAATATCCTACATTCCTCTCTTTCTTTCAACCTTTCATCATACTTTACAGCTCTTTTCCCAGTGTATACTCTTAATTTCTCTCGTTTACATTCTTGTCTTACTATATAGCCTGGCGTCTCTTTCCGTAGCCCTAACATCCACCTCAAATATTTTTCTTGTACTGCTTCCATCTCTGTATATTCCTTCCATCCCCATATCTCCACTCCATACATTAATACACTCCTAAGTAAACTATCAAACATTTTCATCCTTCTTCTAACGTCATGTCCAAATATTCTCTCACCTATACTCCACACCATTCCCATTATCTGCATTGCTTTGACCGTTCTTTCTCTTATGTGTGCTTTTACCGTGTTAGTTGTTGTAAACTTAAATCCTAAATATTTATTAAACTCCTTTACTGTGTCTATGATTCGATCTTCGAACGCCACACTTTTTCCTCCCCTTTTCTCCCTTTTTTTCTAAACACCATCATTTTTGTTTTTTCTACAGTTTCTTTCTTTTAAAGTATCTTTGCAGTTTTTTTTCATCTCATTCATTCCACATTCATCCTTCGCCAATATTACCAAATCATCTGCAAATGCCAAACACCATACCATTTCTCTCCCCACCACAATTGCTCCCGCTTGTACTCCTCTAAACATTTCCTCTATATCGCTTATGTAACAAGCAAACAGACTGGGACTTAATGGGCATCCCTGTCTTAATCCTTTCGCCGTCCAAAACATTTCACTTTCTATTCATCCCACTCTCACACTAGTCACTGTCTCTTGCTGCTACAATTAACTTTTCACTCAGTCCTCTTCTCTCCATGCATTCCCACAAACACTCTATGTCCACCGTATCAAACCGACCTCCTTCCTTTAGCAACTCTTTTTCTATTAGATGATGCAGGATATATACATTGTCCATAGCCCCTCTACCTCTTCTAAATCCCGCTTGACTTCCTGGTAATATACTCTTTTCGTTCATCTCTGTCACCAACCGTTCATTTAACACCATTGCGTACAGTTTATATGCCGTATTCAGGAGAGTTATTCCCCGATAATTCTCTACTTTTTCTTTACTACCCTTTTTATGAATTGGGCATATTTGCCCTACTCTCCATTCCCTGGGGAAACCTTTACCCGTCCACACATCATTCATTAACTCGCTCAATCTTTCAATCATCCCATCCGTCCCAAATATCCACACTTCGTTTACCAACCCATCCCTCCCCGGTGCTTTTCCTCTTTTCAGTCTTCCTACTTCTTTTCCTACTTCCTCTACTCGAATCTCAGCCTCCCTTTCTCTACCACCAATCCCAGTTTTACTATCTTGCACTACAATTCTCTCTTCCTTTCCATTCAACAGTCCCATAAAATGTTTCTTCCACTGTATTATAGGTATGTCTTCACTAATCGTAATTTTGTTCTTCCGTTCTTTATGTATATACTGCCATGCCTCTTACTCAGTTCTTATGGCTTTAATTTTTTCTTCTTCTTCTTGCTGTATATCTTCTTTCTTTTCTTTGCATCGTTTTCTATAATTATTTTTTGCTTGCCAGTACTCTTCTTTTATAGCTTTCCCCCTCTTCCACCTTCGTAAACATTTCCTTGCTTCTGTTTTTAAATCTCTGCATCTGCTATTCCACCATCTGTTTCTCTTTCCTAAATTTCTCGTTACAATTTCTTTTCTTATGGCTGCTTTTTCAATTTCTCTTTTTAATTCTTCCATTTTCTTTTCAGTTCCTTTTTCTTTAAATTCCACTTCCAACATTTTTTTTATAATGCTCAATTCCTTTTTCATTCCATACCCATATGTTCTTCTTTTTTTCTACTTCGTTCCTTAAGCATCCGCTCCCTCTACTTATGCCCCTCACTTTTACTTCTAGTGTCATGTGATTGGAGTCCACTCTTTCTCCTATCTTGAATGTTTCTACCTCTTCTTCTGCTAATCCGTTTACTATTACGTAGTCTATTACCGATTCCCCTCTTTTACCTATCCAGGTAAATTCCCCCTCCTCGTCCCCTTCCTTCACCCCATTCAAGACTTCCCAACCTCTTTCTTCAATTAATTCCCATAGCAATTTTCCGTCCTTGTTTTCTACTTTATCTTTCGATTTTCGTGTTTTCCCCGTCTTCTTCCCTGCTTTTGTTCCCTATTCTGGCATTAAAGTCCCCTCCTAACAGTGGAAATTCTTCTTCGGACTCTTCGATTTTTTCTTGTATTTCTTGTTTCGTGTTTCTCATTCCTATAGTACAGGAATGATCTTGTGCAGATTCTCCATCTTTTTTTGTTTACAGCCAGTTTTCTTTCAACCATGCCTTCCATTTCTATCGCCCCCTCTTCTATTTCTTTTATATCTTTCTTCACTTCTGTTATGATTCCACCTTTTGCTCTACCCTTGCGTTTTTCTTTTTTTGCCCCTTGCAATTTCCATTGAAATTCCTTTGGCAACACGTTTTTCAGTTTGTTCCAGTCTCTCTCTAATATCCATGTTTCTGTTAGTCCCACAAAATTATCTTTCTTTTTCAAACCCGCAATATTCCAAAAGAGTAATTTTAAACCATGTTTCTCCTCTTCTTTCCCATTCGCCTATTATGTACAAAATCTACATTCTTAAACCTAAAGTCTTTATTTGTCCTATCATTACTAGCCCTCCCCCTTGTGTTTCTTTCTTCGGTTAGTGCTGACTTGATTTGAGAAATTTTTCTTCCAATTTTCCTTTATTTTCATTCCATGTATACATTTTGTCCCCTACTTCCAGCTTCTTATATCCCACCCTTGTTGTGTATCCTTTTTTTCTTTCCTCTTTAGATACCTTCCTAATTCCTTTTTGAATTTTTTTCTCTTGTACTCTCCAATCATTATCAATATATATTCTCTTTCCTCTCAGTTTATTTTTATTCTTCATCACCTCTTGTTTTTCCTCCCAAAGCGTCTTAACCAGTATTTTCTTGCTTTCCTCTTTCCCTATAATTATTGTTTCCAACACTTTTACTTCTACCTCAATTTCTTTTTTTTTAAATTCCTCAACTTCTTTTGCATCTGTTTTTTCCCTTATTTCCATACCCGTAATTATGAAATTGTTTCTTCTTTCTTGCCTCTCTTTTTTTTCTCTAAATTATTGATTCTTTCTTCGAAGCTTCTCTCCTTTTCTTTCCGTTCTTCTCTTTCTCTTTCCAGTATTCCATTTATTGTCTGTAATTCTTTTTTTACCCCTCTATTTTCTTCTCTCAGTTGTTTCATTTCTTCCATTAGTTGCTTCATCATTTCCATCAACGGCTCTTGTCCTTGCTTTATTTGTTCTCTTTCTTCCATTTTCAATCTTTTTGCTGGCTCTTTGCGCGGCGAATCGTCTTCTCTCGTGCGGCGCATGCCTCTGCTGTCGCTTCCCTCACTATCAGCTCTTTCTCGCCAGACCGCAAAAACGTCACCAATCTTATCACTCCCAATCGTTTTCTGATTCGACATAACCTTGCTGTTTTTCTTGTCTCAGTTGCACTACTTAGGAAAGTCGTAACAATGTTCCACAACCCATCGAAAATTTTAAATACCATATTAACAAAACAACACAACAATACATTCTTCTTACTTACAACCTATATATAGCCACACACTTGACTGTTAATATGTACTTACACAATAATATGACAACCCCTCGTCACAGCCGAGCACAATTGCAACGGACATCCTTACAGGGTGTGACCTTAGGGACCACCGAAAAAACACAAAGCCCGTTCGTCGTGTTCGCTGAAGCGCTACAATTAACACCACACGCTCACTCCACGTAAAATATTGCCGTATTCCAATTATATTTTCAATATAACGCGATCTAATAATGCTCGCTGACGTTTATTTTTGGTTAAACAAATTTCGATATGCAATTTCGCATCAGCGGCATAGTCGAAACCAGGTGTGCTTGAACGTTAAATAAATTGCCAACGGGCCAACACATTACCATAAACTGCATCGGTACGTTGCTGATATTTGTCGAGATCAGATTTTTCTGGCCCGGCGCATCCACCAATTTTGCATTTTATTGGCGGCGAGCTTGTTTGGTCGGAGCTAATCACGCTTTCGGACGAAAGCGTAATATTATCTGCCTTAGCACTTTTACGTGTTTATATGGCAATTTTTTATTTGCGTTGCTGGTGCGAGGTAATTTTTATTGGCGTTTTTATACACTTTGTAAGTCGCATTTTGGGCCGGCGAAATTGTAACGAGCTTTTTATTTACTACGCCGTTTGGAGAGTCCTTTTATAGTTTTGCCGATGTTATACTTTATGAGGGAAAAAACACGACAAAAGTATTAACCTATATTTTCAAAAACATGTCACTTTAAAAATTTTAAACAATTATTTTTTATACAGGCAATATTTATTGTCCAAATATTTCTGGAATAAACTTTTTTCTCTTCATTTAAGTTATACGGTAACTTTTGTCGCATATTGCATACAAGATTTTTGCTGTAAATCTTAATCGTAGTATCCTAGTTGTATCGATGTCATCCGATACATATCTAAGTTTTTCTAAAATCACAAACTACTAACGACATCCTAGAGGCTTGTCTTATTACGTGTGAGAAATATATTTTTACGAGGACAAGAATTATGACCTCTCACAGAGAAGCAAAGAAAGACACGAAAGCTATCATTATAACCTCCCATTTCTCACTAGGACTAGATTATCGACGCGTCTAACAGCCAGTGTAGTTTTAGATTGTGTGCAGATGCATTTAATGTACTCGTACTCTTGTGAACGATCGTTCAGCGCACTGACGCTAACACAAGCACGTTAAAATTCCCAAGACAGGGAAATTTCAATAAACTGTCTAGGCGTCTCAACAGCCGTGCTGTACATTTCTACAACTACAACTAATCTCAATTCAGCTCTCTCGCAGTTTAGTTCAAGAAAGTGACGTAAATGTGATAGTTAAAACGTTTAGAGAGTTTGTTGAAATTTTTAGTGTCGTGGGGATAATAACGTGTTTGTATAAGTGCTTTTAGTGTATTGTTAATTATTTGGTTGGTGCATGTCTGCATGTTGAGAGTTCCTATAGGAAACAAGCATGTACAACACTTTCTCTGCGTGACAATTAATATATGAATATTTCCTGGGGGGAAATGGATACAGACGATATTTGCCGTCAGTGTCTGTACATGTGGACCCTTGTTGGAGGGATTGGACAAGCACACGTTCTATCTGTGTGCAATTTATGTTAAAATTTTCTCTAACCCTGAATTTATGCCATAGTTTAGGCAATTCTAAATGAACTATAAATTTAAAAGATCTAAAGATGGTGTTAGTATATAGGGATAGAAATAAAACAATATTTAACTTGAAATTCATATTTTTTCTAAATACGCGCATATTTTTGTAAAAAATATTCAATTTATATCTTACAACTTCCAGATGTGCAAACTAGCACCGCCATCTAAAGGTTCGGAGCACAAAATCATGATTCTAAAATTTGTATGACACTATTTGACCATAAGCACAAGTTATGAAGTTGATCATACGGTCGCAATAAATCTATGGAATATGTATTAAGAATGAAAAAAGAAACTGGTTCCGAGTTCAGTTCTGAGACAAGACACAAAACTATTTCTAGAATAGACAAAAGTAGGTCTTCCGATTCTTTACTGGTCAACGCTTTGAAAGCAGCCGATCATCTGACTAAAAGTAGTGACGATTGTTGTAAAATTTTAGATTTATTTTCAGGATCACAAAAAGCTAACGAAAATTTTTCTGTTTATACCCATTAAAGATTTGCCGACGTCATCTCAAAATTTTGCTATGTAAATCTTGTTTAGAATGTGCAAAATAATTTACTTCTATACTTGTGTATGATTAACTGATTATTATTTTTTTTTAGCTTTATAGGTATAAATAGATTTTGAGAAAAAAATCAAAATTTTGGAAGAAAAATTTAGTAGACTAGCATTTATTTTAGAAGTCATAAAACCGATTACGCTGAGATTTTATAAACCAAAAACTTGATGTTGTTATCTCGAGATTTTCAAATGGATGTCTCACTTGAAATAATCAGAATGGCATGATTTTGTACCAGTAGTTTCGTTATAAACTTCCATTTTCTTGATTTATGTTCGAAACGTTTTGTTAAATGAACCAATTAATTTTATTTATTTGATCAAAAACGGTTTATAACATATTTCTGAAAATCTGATATATTTATTTCTTCTAAAAACTATACTACGTTACGGGTGGGTAACCCACCTCTACTTTTATTTTAATTTAGAATAGTTATTAAAAAAATTTCTGAATAAAATTTTATATTTAATCTGCGCAATTGATTCTCTATCAATTAAGTATTTTAGGGGCGAGGGAAGTTCCCATCTACACAAAGTGTTTCTCAATAATCATCAGGCTTTAAAATAAAAAAAGTAAAAACCAATTTTGTTTTGGGGCATACGAGTCTTAGAAATATTTCTTAAAATGTAATAGAATATGGAATAAAATCAATTAAAAATTCATTGGGGAATACGAAAATATGGGAAAATATTAGTCAGATTATGTTCTGTTTCATTTGTAATATACAGCGTGAGTCACCAAGCCGACCGTTCTCGATGTCTCATTATTTATTAAATTATTTTTGACTACATTAGAGTATTTTGTTTTATGAGATGTAGTACACAAGTTAGTTTTTCTTAACGAAACACCCTATAGATTTTTTCATTTTCTCATTTACCTCTTTCTAAACTTTATAATTACAGTTTTGAAATTCAGTTGCGACATTGGCACGTCATTTCAGTTTTCTCGAAATTCTTGGAAATGGAACCAAATAAAACAAAATCGCAAGATTGAATAAAGATACGCACTTTGGTATGGCGTCAATTAAATAAATTCTACATTTTATTTAATTTAATATACAGAGTGCTCATAAAAAAAATTAAAATCTTTCAATTTTCAAATATCAATATTTCAGTTTTTTAAACGGAACACCCTGTATTTGATTACCGCATCATACTCTATTTTTTGTTCTCATTCTTCGAATACGGACGAACTAGCAATAACAAAACAGAAAGATAACAAAAATAGAATACGATGCAATAATAAAATATAGGGTGTTCTATTTAACAGATATCAACCAATAAAGCGACTACCTTTATTTATTTTCCCACAAAATATTCTAACGCAAATATTAAAACTAAACCTACTGCAATTTTTTGCGAACCCTTCAATTGCCAAAAAATTTCATGAATATTGGAATAACGTGGCAACGTCGCATCGGTATTTCAAAAATAAACTGTATTTGCAAAACCTAAGAAAAGGCCAATCAAAATATGTAAAATATATAAGATGTTTTATTAAAAAAAAACGAAGTGTGTTAAGTACGCCTTAAAAACAGAACACTTTTTAGAGTTAAAAATAATTTTAGACTACAGTCCTCAAACAATTTTGGTTTATGGTTTGTCTTCTATTTCTAATAATTAATGAGATATGAAGGAACGTAGGCTTACTGATTCACCCCATATATTCCATTAGCTTATTTTTAGGCCATATAACTATAGTTTATTTTTCAAATTCCGATGCAACATTATCTCAATTTTCTTGATTTTTTTTTAACAATTGAAGGCTTCACAAAAAAAGTGTAAAAATGTTATTTTTAAAATATGTACTGCAATCTGCAATATTTTATGAAGAGATAATAGAAGTACGAGCTTTGTTGTGATACCAATTAAATCAAATTGTAATATAGAGAGTGTTCATAAAAACTTCTAAACCGTTAAAATTTTCTAATATTAATATTTCCGTTTTTGAAATATAACTCTTTGAAAAGTATGAGTACTATTTTTGTTCCTCTTTCTATTAATACTACTGCCAGACAAAAAAACGGACACTTGAATTTTTTCTGATTACCTGTAATTGGTCGAACTTTTGAAACACATGTTGAATAAAGGAAAACATGAATGTATTCATTAACAGAAAACATAACTTTAATCTATATATAAGTTACAAATATTCAAGTGCCTGGGTTTTGTGTCTGACAGTGTATTTCACAAAAAAAGTGAAAAGAAAAAATGGAATAAGATGCAGTAATAAAATCTAGGGTGTCCTACTGATATATCGATATGTGAAAATTATAACAATTTATTTTTTTTAATAAACACTGTGTATATTAAGACTCGACTTTATTAATACCACAATAAAGCTCCTACCTATTTTTATCTCCCCACAACTTATTTATTGTAACAGATATTTAAAAAACTGTCGCAATTTTTTTTTGAGCCCTGCCATTATTAATAAATTTCAAGAAAATAGATATAACGTTGCAACGTCGCATCAAAATTTCAAAAATAAGTTATCATGATTAAACTTAAGAAGAACCTAATCCGACTATGTAAAAATATGTATATAGCCCATTCCATTAAAAAAAACTAAGTTGTATATTACGCCTTGAAAGCAGAACAATGTGTTTAGTTAAAAATATGTAGTACTGGGTGGATACT